GATCTCTGACAGACGGACTTCAGTCTCTGAACTTAAAGTTATTTTTAGTTTTCGCTGTCATTTTTCATGAATGGACACTTCCTGATATCTGAGGCAGGAAACATAGCCTTATATGGTGTTTTTGGGGTGGTAATTACGCTAATCTCCTCTCACGTGCACGAGTAGCTGGATACGAACAGGTGGAATTTACGCAGCTCATTTACACACTTTTCCTGAAGATAGAAGATTTTGTTGAATCTGACGTGACATATTCGTACGAACCCTTTGTACGACCAAAAGTAAGAGAAATTTAGGATAAGAATACGAACATGTTCTTGCCTGAGGCCCATTATTCCTCACCCTAATGTTTGATCACGCTTCTTATATGTGTTGTTTTAAATCAGACATGTATCTAACTAACAGCCTCCTGAGTGTGTGGAACCCTCAAGAGTCCCACAACCCAGTCTGCACATAAAATCATCAATTCAATCAGAAATAACCTCATTATAAAAAGATATTACTGTTCACCTAATAAAAGACTATGCAATGTGTAGTGTCTTTAAAAGTAGTAAACCCCAATAAATTCCTTCAATTGCACGCTGCTGACAATGAAATGATGTTTTGACGTGTGTATGTGTTTGTCAACAAAGTATTTAAAGAGGACAAATCATGCAAAAGGGACACCTTCAAAACACCTCAAAAAAGGGGTGAAAGAGGGGCTTGTGGAGTTACAGTAAGGAGGAATTCAGACCAAAACATTGCAGTTCCATTTTAAAGACCCAAACTGAATGATTTAAAGGTGAAAAAGAAGGATTTAAAAACATGAAATGTCTCGTTTAATGAACCACTTAGTGAGGTGTTTGATGACAGGATGTTCATGTTTAACTGATTTCCCTCCTGTCAATCCAAGATGGCTGCCGCAGCTAAGCTATCTTAGCAAACACAAAGATGTCGATAACTTGGGTCAGTTTTACAGATATTGAGTGAAATTTTGGCACAGTAGGAGCAGAGACATTCCCAACGCATAACCAACTTTGTCATTAACTGTTGGTGTCAACACTGTCTGAAATATCTCAGGAACAACTGGACATGTTTTAATGAAACTCTGAACGATAGCATTAGATGTAGAACTGGAGTGCGCAAAAACCACATGAGCGCGTGATCGGCTGGTGAAGCTAACGGCTAACTCTAAACGGTCAAGTCTCTGGATTTCTCATTACTGTACATGTTGACAACAGAGCAGAAAAAAAGGACTGACGATGTAGAAATCATTTAAACTATTAATAATAATATTAACCCAAGTATTATTAATA